TATATTCTGATGTAAAAAGGTTCGCTATTAAATGAGTAGGTTGGTGAATTCGTTATATGCAAGATCCAACTAGCTCACCCAGCTTATGATTTTTCGCGAAATCCATTCATGATGTTTTCGAGTTACTTCGTCTGTATGGAAACTCGTGTATTGACATCAGTATTTTGTCGTGAACATGAAAAATACGTCCATTGACAAAAACAATCAAATACCCGAGGTAAATTCTCAGAAATAATTTTACCAGGTGTTTTAGACTCATTGTGATAGCAACATCATATTCTTTTAACTCTATCATGATATTCTTCGTGAAATAATTAACAAATAAATAGATAAATAATTATTGGTGGTGATAATTAAGGAATAAATAAAATAAAATGTAGAAAACAAAATCAGGGCCGTCCCACCTATCCACGTTTAACTCTTGTTGATTGAGTAACAGCAAACCAAAATACCTTGAATGGACTTGGACATGGGACCGTCAATTCTAACGATTAGTCCCAAGGCATTGGTTAAAAAGATAAAACGTGAAGTGGTGATCAGTATAAAGATTCAATCATGTTAGTGATGGAGCCTGTATTGTGGTTATTGTTATACAGAGTAACAGAGGTCAATATTTATTTTAATGCTTCCGCTAGGATTCGAACCCGGGACCCCTGGCTTACTAGTCTGACGCATCACCGTGCATCGCCATGCAGGCTCATCCATAGGGTGGATTGGTGTTGGTTTTATTACTTGGAGGGTTTGCACTTTTTCTGGCTTGTTTGTCTGTGATGTAGTGTGTGGGTCGCAGACTGTTGCGCTATACTCTATCTTAGGATGTACTAGGGTTTTATAAGCAAGGTCTTTACCACGTGAAGAGTTTATCTTTAAATTTTGCTGATTTGCTTTAGATGTGATGGGATTAATGTTTAGGACTCATTTTATATTAGACTGTACAATGACACCCAGATATTTTGCAGATTTTGTTAGCTCTAGAACATGCACATGTAAAGTATAATTTGAAGGTGGAGAAGATGATCGTTTATTTGTGACTTGCAGTATGAAGCACTTGTCAGGATGAAAGGACATAAGTCAATCTTGTTCCCAGAGAGCTAGAGCATCAAGGACCAAATGAATTTTGTGAACGTTATTATTGGTTTTGATGTTCCTGTATCTAATACTATCATCATCAAAGAGGGGGAGAAAGCTATGGTTTAATGTAGTCAGGAAGATCGTTTATGTTGGTCAGAAATAGTATGGAGCCAAGAACAGGTCCCTGGGGGACACCTGATATGATAGGGACAGATACAAAGTTTCCATTAAATATGACAGACTGTGTTTTGTTTGAGAGAAAAGAAGTCATCCATTTGTGAGTGTTCGATCTGATGCCGTAGAAATGATGTTTGTAGAGCAGATGTGGATGGGGTACCTTGTCAAAAGCTTTAGCAAAGTCCGTGACAATAACATGTGTGCGTTTTTTGTCATTTGAAGAGGACAAACCTTGTATACGGAAATGAGCTTGGATTCACAAGGTTGTAAGGATCGAAAACCGTGTTGGCGCTCATAGAGATTGCTGTTGGAATCAAGATGAGTCATAATAGAATTACTGATGATGTGTTCACAGATTTTACAGCAGAAATGATTTCAAGAAATTGGTCTATAATTTATAGCATTGTGGTTTTAGTTGTATACTGGACAGACATTAGCATGGTTCAAGTCACCTGAAACAGTCCCAGAGTTGTTAGATGTTTGGAAGAGAAAAGACAGGATAGGTGCGATGTATTGTGCAGATTTTTTTGGTATTTGTCCATGAATTTTGTCTGGACCAGAGGTTTTATGTGCGTTAATGATATTTGAGTTTGAGGACGCATTATCTTAAAAAATCTGTTTATACAGATGCTCGGTAAAACAGGTGACTGTGAATCAACGATGATTTATGGTCTACAATTGTCTCCATTTTAAATATTGAATTGCATTATTTTTCAGAGTTTATGTTGACAAGCATTTTACTTGGAGGTCCTCTGACCTTTCAACTTTATTAGGCAAATACGTCTAGGGACAATTAAGACCAACTTTCGTGCGTACTAAGAAAAAGGACTTACATAAGTATTCTGCTTTGATGCTCATCCGTGTCTCGATTTGAAATCTGAAATATTCAGATGATCGATGCCTGTGTCACCAAAATTACTTTTGAATTTTCACGGTAATAAATTTCTCTTCCATAACTGACTTATTATCACTTAGAGCAAATTCACATCTTTCTAGACTAATGATTAAATATCAACTACATAATCTTGTTCAAGAACCCACTAGAATTACAAGTACATCAGCTACCCTAATTGATATATATATCTCACAAATAACATCTTATCGTCACTGTGTAATGATCATTGTCCAGTTCTAACTCATATGTCTTTTAAGACTTTAAAGAATGAGTCGTATGAGAAAAATATTTTTGAATTTCGTCAGGCAGATTGGGACTCAATTAATAGTGAACTCAAAATGTAAACTGGGATGTTATATTTAATGGTAATACTGATATTAATGAGCTATATGCAATCATCCTTGGCAAAATCTTCACCATTACTAACACTTATATTCCTAATAAAACAGTAACAATCCATCCAGATGATAGACCATGGATGACGGGTGAAATTAAGCTTAAACTTAGACAAAAAAATAGACAACATAAAAAAGCGAAAAATAACATGATTGGGCAAGATTTAGATCTATTCGTAATGAAGTAATTGAACTTATTAGACATGCTAAAGATAACTATTTCAGAAAATTACAAAATTTACTTACTGTTAAGACTGTTCCTCCTAAGAAGTGGTGGAGTGTTGCTAAATCCATTGCTAAAATTAACAATACTAACTATAGCTCATGTCCACTTAAGATTAACAACAAAATACTTATCCATCCGCTAGAAAAAACTGAGGCCTTTAATAACTTCTTTACCTCAATAGCTTCTGACATTACCAATTCTAATCTCCCTGAGTTACCTCCCTTATGTCCTTTTGAACTTTCTGATATAACAATAACTGATCAAGTTATTAAAGATCAATTTGATTTTCTAAATGCTAACAATCCCGCTGGTCCAGATGATATTTTACCGCGAATAATCAAACACCTCACTCCTTAACATATCCTCTCATACTGTTATTTAACAGAACTCTATCTCTAGGTGAAATTCCAGATATTTTGAAAACAGCTAATTGTTAACGCTCTTTATAAAGGTAAAGGCGAAACCCATGATCTCAATAATTACAGACCTATTGCTATAACATGTGCTTTTATCAAAATGTTGGAAAAAAATATTTTTAAATATACATATAATTATATCATGAGCCAAAATATGCTTAGTGAGCACCAGTCTGGATTTCAACCTAAAGATTCAACAGTTAATCAACTTGTAGAGATATTTAATACTATAAGTTATAATTTAGATAAAGGTAAGGATCTGAGATTTGTTTTCTGTGATATAAGTAAGGCATCTGACCGGGTATGGCATTTAGGTCTCTTGTATAAACTAAAACAGCATGGCATTAAAGGAAAACTATTTGATTGGTTCAAAGCCTACTTATCTGACAGAAAACAAAGGGTAATGATGGCTATAAATCTAATACTAAACCAATATCTGCAGGTGTTCCTCAAGGATCTGTCCTGGGCCCTTTCTTATTTCTTCTTTTCATCAATGATATCGCTAATAATGTTACCTCTAATATCAAATTATTTGCAGATGATACTTCTTTGTATATAATTATAGAAAATGAAAATGACCTTGATATACCTGCAGAGCTACTTAATGATGATCTCTCCTCAATATCTGATTGGGCTAATCAATGGCAAATACTTTTTAATCCTAATAAAACTGTAGCTATAACCTTTTCACGTAAACATAATAATAATCACACACACCCTCTGTTCTTTAATAACCACCTGATAACACATGACTTTCATCAACATCTAGGCTTAACATTTAACAAAAAAGGTACTTGGTCTGATCATATTTCTAAAAATTATGAAAAAGCTTCATCCAGACTTAACACACTTAGAATTCTCAAACATGAAGTTGATAGAAATACCCTTAAAACAATTTACATATCTTATATCAGACCTGTTTTAGAATACTCCGATATAGTTCGGGATAACCGCTCAAAAGCTGAAAATGATTTATTAGAATTTATTCAAATTGAAGCGATGATAATTATAACTGGGCTAAGAAGGGGTACATCACACAGAATTCTTTACTCTGAAACACATTTAGAAACATTACAAACTAGAAGACATAATCACAAACTTACACTAATGTTCAAGATTATCAATAATTTTGCACCCAAGTATCTTTTTAATATCCTTCAACCTTCCATAAATACAAACAAGAATTATGCATTTAGACATGAACGATTCTTCAATGTACCTTCTGCCAGGACTAACAATTATAAAAACAGTTTTTTCCCTTCCACTATGAATAGTTGGAACTCTCTTGATGATACTATTAAAAACTCTATTTCAATCTCTAGCTCCAAATAAAAACTAAAAATTGTATTTCCGTTTATAGTTTCTGATATTTTCTTAGAAATCTAAATATTATTCTTTGTCAGTTACGAAACACTGCTAGTGATTTAGAGTTTGATAAATTTATGGATCAATGGTTGATGATGGTTCTTGTGCATGTGGTGCTGCTACAGAGAACTCGGTACATTACTTCTTCCAATGTCCCCTTCATGTAAATTACAGGCATTGCATTACCACTATTTATAATCTTCTCGGGTTTGTGAATTATCAATTTGTATTATGTGGTGTCATTGGTATGACTGACGGGGTGAATAGATTTATACTTGAGAATACTAGCTCCTATCTTAAAAAAACTAAACGATTTGTAAATTTCAAGTAAAATATCATTGCAAGTTCTAACTGAATTTCATTTATCATTGTTGTGAATCATTGTTGTAAGGGAGCTAACTCTACCCTAACATTACTGACGGGGAATCTCCCACAGTCTATAAATAGGCTTAATCATCGTTGATACGCCATTTGCAAAAACTCTCCGACTACACACCTTCATTCTACAGGTAGGTATGTATAATAGTTATTGTAACTTTGTATGTGTGAACACGATGACTTTGATTCTTGGTTTGGTCAGAATCTATTGTTCGGTCCAGACCCCAGAGGACATTGACGTGGCCTACATAGCTAGTAGTGACAGAAGGTGATCTCTGAACGGTATTCCCATACCATTAACTTACTATAAAGTCAGTTGTTTAACCAGATGGTTCAAGGGAGAGGGAGGATGATCGAATATTGTAAATGTAACTATGATTACTATATCTGTATTGTAACAAACAACGTAGTGTTTCTGAATATAATTTTAATAATGACCTAGAAATTTCCATAAACTGGTGTATCACAGAAGGGCACTTACAGGTCTTCGGTAGTGTACTGTAACGCTATAACTGCATAGAGAAAATACTTAATTGATGATGTGAATTTACATCAACAACAAAAGTTTGAGCAATATTGGCCACCTTAAAATACAGAAGGCTTAGAGGGGATATGAAAGAACTTTATAAAATCACAAATGGTATATATGATAAGGATTCCTGCAATTTTGTAAAGCTTAAAATGGATGTAGGAATAAGAAGTGGTCGAGAACACTACAAAACGTCCTTTCTTCAACAACACAGGACCAACAGAAGAGGAAATAGTTTTACTATAAGAAGTGTGAAGACATGGAACAATCTTACAGAAGACATTGTATCTGCTCCAAATATAAATACTTTTAAAAACAAACTGGATAAGTTTTGGAAAAATCAAGATGTTTTACAAAATTATAGAGTTACTGTAAACTAAACGGAAAATGAACTTTTAACCATAACCAGAGACGTATATACGTCTCTACCATATCATAATTTTGAGTCAGGTGAAGAGGAACACTGTATGTTCCTGTACCGGAAACATTACTATAATGTTGTGGCTGATATTTGCTGGGCTTTGCCCAAAGAACTGCATGCCTCCTAGAGCAGTTTGGGTAGAAGCATTGTATGGATTGTTCTCTAATTTCATATGTAGGTTCCCCTGGGTTTCTTGTTGTGCCTTTGTTTTACTACAAGTACATGTTTGTGGTTTGCGGTTTATGTATCCTGTTTATCTGAAATTTAAATTTCCATCTTTTTATACAGTATGATGTAGATGTACAGTTAACATCCTGAACTATTTTACCTAACTGTCTCATTTCTTTTGTTTAACAGAATATTTGTCCATTTTCCAAGTTTTTTCATTGTCTATTTTTCAATACTTTGTTCAAAGACATATAATGCATATTATAAGGTATACTTGCCTGCTTTGTTTTATCATTCGAATGGGAGTTGCACCCTGTCACTTCATGTTTATGGCTCATACACATACTTCTCTAGATAAAATGACATTATGGCAGACCCTGTGTTTTTGTATGAATGATAGGGTTTTTTTTTTTTGTACAGGGATGTTACCTGGGTGCAACATCTTTTTTTTTCAGACATTCAGTGTCTGTAGACCTGTGCAATTGGTTAGACAATATAACATAAAGTAACTTGTCTTCGCATTAGATACTGTAGTCACACACTGTTGTTTCAGGCTCAAGCATACCTTACCAGGGTATCTATGAATCACTGATGTCTCCATCCACAATCTCTTGTCTGAATAATATATCTACTTTGTAAGGTTATTCTGATTCAGATTGACCAGGATGTCGATAAATGACAGTTTGATATCAGGATAGTATTGATCAGGCATAGAAACAAAACATGACAGTGCACATATACCAACCCCCAAATATGTAATGAATCTGTTATGGAAATCAGATAATATTGAACTGTACCTAAGTGATATCAATATACTGTAGTTATCTGCCCCTTTTTTCCACTTTAATTTGACATCCTATGCATGATAGTCCCTCTTTGGCCCCATTACACATAGCTGGAAAATGAAGTTCACTTTTACAGTTACTATTGATTACTGAAAGAATATTTGTTTTGCCTTGAAGGTTATGATATTAGTGGTAAAAAGTAAGGTCATATTGTATGAATATGTACAGAAAATACTAGCACACATTTACATGGACTATCGATACAAAAATATTGTATACAATAAAATGTTATACTACAAATGTGAAATAGCATGAAGCATAATATGGGATTTTCTGTTGAATGAAACAGATAGCTATTTGTTGTATAGACACACAGGACAGTGTTACAGCCAGGTAGCCTCTAGGTAACCTACAGTCATTAATCATACATAACTATATATATAAGGTATGTGTCACTGAAACGTTTGAACATATGCCAAGAATAAGTAAATACCAGTAAACAAACATATGCTGTACATAGATTATGACTTTCTTTTCCAATGTAATTAATAGTCAGCACCTGTTCTTAATGAACACTATAGTCATTTTATATGCTGTTCTATAAAGTCCCAGTTCTTCCTTAATACACCCACAAAAACTAAAATTTTACAGCTGTAGCATGAAGTTTTGAATGAAGGTGACAAGCTGAAAGTTCATAGTAAATTGGCTAAGGTTGACTCATCCGAAAGGTGATGAACGACACCACACTTCAACACTCACCGTAGTGTGCATTGGTCATCCTATAGAAATGGATTTGTTTTTCCTCTGTTCCTATCTTATCATACACTGTAATACATCTGCCAATCAGGTACATGTATATGGTAAATTATTCTGATTTCTTAAAAGATTTTACAACCATAAAGACATGAAGTTGTGTTTACTTAAACATACATGCAGTTAAATTTTGGGAATAATTAATAATGTATTTTTCACTTTTTTAGCATTTTAATCATGTCTGGACATCCCCTATTTCGGTTTATCTCTTGTGCCGACTTGATTACAATGACTCAATATTGTGCTTCTTGTGGCAATATTTATCTCCATTATTTTGTTACATCCATTATTTTTGTGCATTGTGATGCGCTACTCTAGTGGTGAGGGACAGGGGTCCTCAGACAAACAGAAACTATTAATGTCATTCTGCAATATTGTGGAACTGATGGCTATACACTTTGATTTGAAAATATATTGTGTTGATTGTCTCAGATTGAAACAATTGCTTTTTCATTACTTTCTTTCCTTTTGTTGTACAGAGAGAAATGAAACATTCAGCCATGAAGAAGAAGAGGACATGAATGTTACATGTGCACATGTTGTTGGTGTACATCACCCACTGTAGGGTATTACAGCAACTACACGTGCACATGTCTTACATATACTTGTGACAAGTAAGTACTCACATTGCCTCGAATTTTTCATTTTTATTTCTGATTTTAAGAATTAAAAAATAGAAGATATCCTTATTATAGCAGTATTGTTATAGTATTAAGGTAACTGATCCTATAGGCACCAATGGATAGAGACCCAGACTGTAAATCTTAAAGACAACTCTTTCTTCTTGTTACAGACTATCATGCAGAACACTATGAATGGTGAAGACGACATTGCGGTAATTGACCAGCAGGAGGATATAGATCACCTTGGTTATCCTGTCAGCGTGACGGACGACTACCAAAGTAACTCGACACTTCAGCTCTACATCAGCAGTGGTAAACCAGAAAACGATGCCTCGCTTCATGCTCTGAGAAATGCCTACCATGATCTTAAACTCAAATACAATGAGCAGACGGCAAAAGTCCATTCTATGAGACAAGCAATTAAGGATATGGAAGCACAGAGGATTCAAAGCACAAACCGCCCGTTTAACATGAACACATCTGCTGCATTTGCAGGTGCAGCTGGAGCTGGAAATCCAACAGCATCTGGAGCCGGAGAGGCAAATTCACATCTTCGGGCTAATTTAGGATATGCAGATAGCTTACAAAGACAAATAATCCGTCTGAAAAATACAAGTGCTGTGCGGGAAAAGGAAATGGAGAGAAAATATTCTGATTTATATACAAAGTTCAAAAGACTTGAGGCTGATGTGAATACACTACAGTTACGTAACAGAAAAACTACAGTCGATCTAGAAAAAACAGCTAAATTATTAGAAGACCGTGAAACATACATTGAGCAATTGATTGACCGCAATAATGTGTTAGAGAAAAAAGTGGCTTCACAAGACCCAGAATCATTCTCAGAAGAGAGTCGACTGCAGGAAAAGCACCTGATGGGGATTATGGAATACCAGACACAGTATATAGATGATCTTAAGAAGAAAGTGCAGGAACAGAACAGCATCGTCAACAAGCAATTGGAAATGATCAAAACAATGAGCAGGATTCAAAAAGGTACAAGTTGTTAGAAGAGTACAAACTGTGTTTACATTTATTTGCATGAATTCAGTATAGAAATTGGGGTAGTTTTAGCTGTTTCATGACCGTCAGCAGCTTTGTAAATGCAGCAGGAGGTGGTCATATATTGGCGTCATCTTCTCTGTCTGTCCATCCGTCTGTACGTCCTGCCGTATGCCCATTTCTTGTGAATGCAACTTCTCCTAAACTAATCATCAGATTTTCATGAAACTTGCTCAATGTCACTATTACAATGGGTAGATGTACATGAAGGGGCAATTTTTGGGTTCTTGATTTTTGTAAGATTTATGCCAATTTTAACTTTGTATCTGTAGCTTGCTCTTAGTGGAACTTTGTGAACACAACTCCTCCTAAACTAATGATCAGATTTTCATAAAACATTCTCAATGTCACTAATACGATGGTTCGATGTGCGTGAAGGGGCATTTTTACGGTTCATTGATTTTTGTTGATGAGATGTACTAATTAGGACATTGCTTGTCCATCTGTCATAAACTTTCATTACCTTTCACATTTTATTAATGAAAATATTTTTGTAGAGTTATTGCCCTTTGCTTTTCCACAAACCAAATCTTGTTTGAAGATTTCCTCTGACAGTATTCAACCGATCTTGTTGATACTTGGTATGTTTTATATCATATACACATTAAGTTTTATTTTCTAGAACAGCGTTTTGATTTAAATGTATTTTGAAGAATTACTGCCTCTAAATTATTTCCAGATATGCCTTTTTCAACCAATCACATTGAGATTAATTTGGTTTTATATATGGCAATGTTAATAATTATAATTATATGGCAATGTTAATAATCATAATATCATTTCCAGAAATGCATTTTTCTACACCTGTCATTTTATGAGTTATTGACTTTTAAAAGTTTTTTTCAGCCTTTGTCATCTTATGAGGATAGATCCCACAACTTCTGACAAATTTCTTTATTGCATTTTAATAGGCTGTGATATGAAATTGAGTTTTCATAAACAAGGTTTTGGTTAAACAGCTTTTTAAAAAGAGATTGCAGTTGTTTTTCTTTACCGTAGTTTTTATTTTATCTGGTGATCTTTTCTTGCAATTTTCAATTGATATATTTTAGAAGCTTTAGAAAATTGCCAAGAAGATGCACTTTCACATTTGGATGAGACAAGTACTATAAATAAAAGTTCATATTTTTGACTGGCTCTATTTCTGTTTTTCGCTATTTTCATGGATGAAATGAAACCATGAAAAACAGATAAAGGTAGAAACATCCAAGTTTTATAGTATTGTATGAAATGTATGTTTTACCTTCTTCTGTATGAAGTAATATATTTTATTTTTTGGTATTTGCAAGGCATCTTATATTGCAACCCATAGTAGTATGGTTTAAAGTTGGATTTAAGTGTTTACTTACATAATTGATCAATTGAGTAGAAATTTTAGATCTGTTTTGTTGGTATGATACAAATATTATTGGATAATGTTTGAAGCTTGTGCTCAGCCAATATTGACACCAGGCAAAGATGGTATGGTGAAGTTAGAGTGGAAAGACTCTATGTGTCGCACTGTGAAGAGTGAATTCTTAAGTAGCAGAAGAGGAACAAAAAGTTCCATATATTAAATCAGAATATGCAGTCATACTGCGATAAATGTTGAAAACTTACATCATTTACTCCAAATTTGCTGTTTACATCATACTTAGTGAATGTGTACTGGTTACTACACCCCAAGGACTCGTTAAATAAACACTGTATTTAATGCAGGTCAATTGTATAAATTGTATTGAAATCATCACTACCATTAGTTACATTCTTTATTACAGAGGCTGAGGCTGCGGCTTTGAGAAACAACTCCCAGGCCCTAGTTACCGCCAGACAGCCTGATGGAGAATCTCTTTTGCCTTATAATGTGGTAGAGCTTCAAGATACTGGAGCAAGACCTCGCCAATTAAGTACTGTTACAGTCAGTTCACAAATACAACCCATGACAAACTCGCAGACTAGTCCTCGGTCTGTTGGAAGACTGCACTTTGTTCCAACTCAGCAAGACACTCCTGTGTTTGCTCGCGAGTCTTTGGCCGATGTTGAAGCAAGGAGAAAAAGTGACCTGACATTACATACAAATTTTGCAGACTCAAGAAATATCGGGATTCCTGAGGTTCAGGCTACCAGTCAGTTACCTGTACCACAAAACTCACATGACACACCAGACTCTCCCGTTCTGAGGAGGTCACCCAACATGTCTTCTCCAAAGATACTAATGAATCCCTCGGATAGTTCTTACTCCATGCCACGTTATCCTGACACGGAAAATCAAAAACCAAGACTGCATCTTGCAGATGTTTCTGCATTACAGGATACTATTTATCAACCATCAAACTTTGGCCGTGAAGGGCCACTATATGAAAATGACCGTTTACCGGCTGTTAGAAAAGATGATAAAAAGTTAAATTTTGATGAAACAATTTATAGAAGTTCTGCCACTGAAAGACCATATCCAAGGTTAGATGATGAAAGAACACGTGTTTTATATCCTCCATTGGCATCATCAACAGAAAGCAATTACGAAAATATCAAGGTGTTTCATCCTCCAACACGACAAGTTGAAGGAGATTATGTTAATGTAACAGAGTTGGGTGGGCACACTAACCATCCAAATGGTAGTGAGACCCAGAGGTGTCCAGTGTGTAATAAAACGTTCACAACTAAGTCAATTAATGAATTTCAACAACATGTATTTGATTGTATGGATGGTGGTGAAGAAGAGGGAAATTCAACTATTCAAAATGTTTCCCAGGGAGAAATTGGTCGAGAATGTCCGATGTGCACAGCTGTGTTTCCTGGAGTACTGCCTCAGGAAGAGTTTGAAAGACATGTACAGGAACATTTTGGAGAAGATCCTATGATGGAGAGATTTGAAGTGCTGCAAGCTTAACAACTGGTTTTCATGAAAATGTGAATGTTAATGAATCATTTTAATTCAGACTTTGTTTTCAAATTGCAGTGCCAGTTTCTTTAATTTAGCTTAAGCAGTGAACTAAAAATATTTGGAATGATTGTCATTATCAACATATGTGTTTGATTTTTAATGTAACTATTGAAAGTGTTTAGCTGTATTTAACATTAGATATCCTTACCTGAAAGCTTAAGTCATTGAAAACAAACACACATAAAGGATATAAGTTATAAGTGATTAAATTTCAGTAAATCAGACCAGTATACTTATCATTAGAGTTGTTATCGTTTATAAGATACTGGTTTCTTATTAAGAAAAGGTATCTGATATATCATATGATGTGTATTTAAATATTTGATCCAACTCTGAATTTGAGAGTTAGGGTGTCATATCAAATCATTTATACTTTATCACAAAATAAACAAAGTTATGTTGTAGCCTTTAAGTGCTTGTTTAGAGGTCTGAGGTTAGGTAAACATATGTTATTGACAAAACCCATTCAGATGACATGTGTTCTAGTCATGAAAAGCTGCTATAATATGTATTAGTTAAACTATTTTCCTACTATCTTAATTGTGATAGAGTTATTGCCCTTTGCTCCAGTGTCCTATGCCAGTCAAGGCATTGTTGATTTGAAGTGTATTGTCAGGGACCTAGAACTAGAGGGACCCTTGCTCTATTGTGTTTACAAAGAGTTAATTCCCTTGATATTTTGTTTAGTCTTTTACAAATGATAAATTTCTAACAACTAATAAACATAATTGAGTTCAAACTTACAGATTATTAACACAATGTTACAACCACATTAACAAAGAAGACTACAGAAACAATAGATAAACATTTTGTTATTGAATACCTATATATTTAGCCAATAGGAGTAAGAGAGAGATGTGAATGATGAATGATAGACTCTTGTGTATTTAGCCTATAGGAGTAAGAGAGATGTGTACAAAGAATAACCGTCACCTGTGTATTTATGTTCTAGTACTTAGAAATGTGTATGATGAATGATAGTCACCTATATATTTAGCCTATTGGTGTGAGAAATGTTTACGATGAATGATAGTCAGCTGTGTATTTAGCCTATAGGTGTGAGAAATGTTTACGGCGAACGATAGTCAGCTGTGTATTTAGCCTATAGGTGTGAGAAATGTTTACGATGAACGATAGTCAGCTGTGTATTTAGCCTATAGGTGTGAGAATTGTATACAATCAAAGATAGTCAGCTGAGGATTTAGCCTATAGGTGTGAGAAATGTTTACGATGAGCGATAGTCAGCTGTGTATTTAGCCTATAGGTGTGAGAAATGTATAAGATGAGCGATAGTCAGCTGAGGATTTAGCCTATAGGTGTGAGAAATGTTTACAATGAGCGATAGTCAGCTGTGTATTTAGCCTATAGGTGTGAGAGATGTTTACGATGAATGATAGACCTGTTGTAGTGGTAACCTTCATTATTGTGTTTAGTATTTATTAATAGTCAAAGTAGTTTTTCACACTCACAAGTGTTCCTGTAATTCATTCCTCACCAATTTCTCCCATTTTTAGGATCAAAATCACCCTTCATCTATGTTTCATTGTCTGTTTATTAACAAGCCTTGTTTATCATGAAAAGTACTCGAAGGATTTTTCTCAAACTTTGTCTATAAGTTCCCCCGTCTGTTATTTTGGGATTCAATTTTGAGTGATCTGTGTTACAAAATATCCGACAGGCAGTCATCTTGGATTTAACAGTTGACATTTGTTGTGGGTATTTCTCAAGAAATTAATGTGTATGTTACTCTTCGTTTCAGCTTGTGCCCATTCAATATAAAGGTTGATCAGTCAAACAAAATGGCAGACAATCTGCCATCTTGTATTTTGACAGTCAAAGTTTATTATTCTTTTCCTTAAGAAGTCCTGGAAGGATATGTCTTCAGCATTTTTATCAAGGTTAGCAAGAGCTGTATGGTATTTTGTGTAGAAATTCCAAACCAACCAATTACACATATGATTGGCCTACACAGAAGTGTCACTGGGACTTATCCACCTACCACAGAATACAATGAGAACAGCCATTAATGGTTTGAAACTCATATTGCCAAAAACTTGTTTAAAAAGTACAGTTTTATCAAATCAAAATAAGACGGTGCCTTTTTCAGGTTTGCCTCATTCCTGGTTTCAGACTCATGAGCCTGTGTCATTTCCATGAACATGAATTGCATTGTTTCTTAAATGGAAAGTGCTGCAAGGTCCTGATTTGGTGTGAAACTTACCCTGTCTCCTAACTGCATTACAACTGCATGAAAATCTTATGAAAAAAAATGACTGACAAGAGGCTATCTTTGATTTTGACTCTCAGAATTTGTTATTGCTGTTTGGTTAGAAGTGCCTGAGGGATCTTGCTCAGATTTTAATTTATAGATTCCCTTTTGGTACCTAGTTGTGTCTCTGGGACTGATCATATCAGAAAATGGCTGACAAGCAACCGTCTTGGAATTGCTAGTTAAAGATTGTTATCTTCAGAGGAATTTTCAAATTTCTTGTTTTAAATAGCAAAAACAAAGAAAAGAAGGGCAAAACTCCAATCAAACAGTGGTGGGCATCAAGGTCCCTCTGGGATCTGGTTTGTTTATATGGGTATCAACAGTAAATGAATGCCTTAGAAATTTATATATAAGTTGATTTCTAAACCCAGCATGCCATCATCATTTAAGAATGTAAGACTAGGGAGATTGAAGATAACTTTTTGTTTGATGAAGTATTATACAATAACATATTGTTTTAACATCGTTGATATTCTGTGTGAGAAACTGTGTTTGATATCTCAACATCTTGTGTGTCAATTATATAATACAGGGTGACAGTGAAAAGCCATTAAAATATGTGTATTCTAGAGAATATTTCTGTATTTTTTACCTAATTATCTGCAGACATTATCACATTTCCTGCTAGGCTTGCTTGATAAGAAGGAAATGCCACCAATACATTATACAATCTTTCCAAACAAGAAATACTGGCTAATCATGCCCCATTATAACAATCATTTAGATTGCTTTTTAAAGTATTCAAGGAAAGGGTCCCGGGGTAGATACTTCCGAGTCGATCAGATGCTTTGCAATACTTGCTGTTGTAAACGTTGATAAATATACTCTAGTATTAACAAAATGGCGGCCTTGAGGAGCAGACGACATGAATGGAGCTTTGATAGCGTATTATTTCGGCAAGTAAACGTTTTCCCCGTGTAATCAAGTAATCTGACTTTGGTCAACTAGTCGGTAGGTCATTTACATGAAAATTGGGATTGTTAAATAAATGCTTATTTAATTACAAGCTTACCACCGGTAATAAGTATTTATATAATTATTGCTGTATTTAAAATACCCTCATGTTTATCACCGGTGTTCATTTGAAATGACGGAGTCCTTTTTCAGATTGAACTAAATGTCTACAGGGATCTTTAGATTGGTCGAAATTCACATATTGTCCGATTTTTATAACACGACAAACACAACGATGATGTTCTTCATTTTTTTATTGGATAAAATTACCGCCCTACACGGACTACTAATGTGGTGAAATTAGATATTGCTCTATGTTTATCACGATAAGTGTCAATCTTAATTTAATATTATGTACATTAATCACGGGTGCGGTGTGTATAACGGTTTTGTAGCAATATCACTTGCTCTTATTTTAGTGTCAAGTTATTGTTGTTTGTGTTAAATCATTGTTAATTAATCATAACAGTGGGTATTCGTCACAGAAGTATCATATGAAACAAATGTTTAAATCTCGTACTGCTAATGTAACTTGCAAAACTGCTCGTTTTACTGAAAATCTGTCTATATTACAGTAAAACTATCACATATCATAAGAGTTATTTCCCTTCAATCATGAAACAGTTGAACATATCACTCGCGCACACTAATGTGAGAAGCGAACTTCAGTTGCAGTTTCTTTATTAGCTAAAGTTTCCACAACTTATCACAAGACATTACAAACACATACAATCTACACCTTTACATACTGCACACACAAATCACATTTATAATTAGCGTTACACACATAGTCACATTCACAATTTATCACTAGACATAACACACACCAATCACATTTATAATTAGCGTTACATACATAGTCACATTCACAATTTATCACTAGACATAACACACACAAATCACATTTATGATTAGCGTTACATACATAGTCACATTCACAACTTATCACTAGACATAACACACACAAATCACATTGATAATTAGCGTTACATACATAGTCACATTCACAACAACACATTTATAATTAGCGTTACATACATAGTCACATTCACAACTTATCACTAGACATAACACACACAAAGCACATTTATAATTAGCGTTACATACATAGTCACATTCACAACTTATCACTAGACATAACACACAAATCACATTTATAATTAGCGTTACATACATAGTCACATTCACAACTTATCACTAGACATAACACACACAAAGCACATTTATGATTAGCGTTACATACATAGTCACATTTACAACTTATCACTAGACATAACACACAAATCACATTTATAATTAGCGTTACATACACACAAATCACATTTATAATTAGCGTTATATACATAGTCACATTCACAACTTATCACTAGACATAACACACACAAATAATGTACAACTTTACATACTGAACACACAAATCACATTTATAATAAGCGTTACATACATAGTCACATTCACAACATCACTAGACATAACACACACAAATAATGTACAACTTTACATACTGAACACACAAATCACATTTATAATTAGCGTTACATACATAGTCACATTCACAACTTATCACTAGACATAACACACACAAATAATGTACAACTTTACATACTGAACACACAAATCACATTTATAATTAGCATTACATACATAGTCACATTCACAATTTATCACTAGACATAACACACACCAATCACATTTATAATTAGCGTTACATACATAGTCACATTCACAACTTATCACTAGACATAACACACACAAATCACATTTATAATTAGCGTTACATACATAGTCACATTCACAACATCACATTTATAATTAGCGTTACATACATAGTCACATTCACAACTTATCACTAGACATTACACACACAAATCACATTTATAATTAGCGTTACATACATAGTCACATTCACAACTTATCACTAGACATTACACACAAATCACGTTTATAATTAGCGTTACATACATAGTCACATTCACAACTTATCACTAGACATAACACACACAAATCACATTTATAATTAGCGTTACATACATAGTCACATTCACAACTTATCACTAGACATAACACACACAAATCACATTTATAATTAGCGTTACATACATAGTCACATTCACAACTTATCACTAGACATAACACACACAAATCACATTTATGATTAGCGTTACATACATAGTCACATTCACAATTTATCACTAGACATAACACACACCAATCACATTTATAATTAGCGTTACATACATAGTCACATTCACAACTTATCACTAGACATAACACACACAAATCACATTTATAATTAGCGTTACATACATAGTCACATTCACAACATCACATTTATAATTAGCGTTACATACATAGTCACATTCACAACATCACATTTATAATTAGCGTTACATACATAGTCACATTCACAACTTATCACTAGACATTACACACACAAATCACATTTATAATTAGCGTTACATACATAGTCACATTCACAACTTATCACTAGACATAACACACACAAATAATGTACAACTTTACATACTGAACACACAAATCACATTTATAATTAGCGTTACATACATAGTCACATTCACAATTTATCACTAGACATAACACACACCAATCACATTTATAATTAGCGTTACATACATAGTCACATTCACAACTGATCACTAGACATAACACACACAAATCACATTTATAATTAGCGTTACATACATAGTCACATTCACAACTTATCACTAGACATAACACACACAAATCACATTTATGATTAGCGTTACATACATAGTCACATTCACAATTTATCACTAGACATAACACACACCAATCACATTTATAATTAGCGTTACATACATAGTCACATTCACAACTTATCACTAGACATAACACACACAAATAATGTACAACTTTACATACTGAACACACAAATCACATTTATAATTAGCGTTACATACATAGTCACATTCACAATTTATCACTAGACATAACACACACCAATCACATTTATAATTAGCGTTACATACATAGTCACATTCACAACTGATCACTAGACATAACACACACAAATCACATTTATAATTAGCGTTACATACATAGTCACATTCACAACATCACATTTATAATTAGAGTTACATACATAGTCACATTCACAACTTATCACTAGACATTACACACACAAATCACATTTATAATTAGCGTTACATACATAGTCACATTCACAACTTATCACTAGACATAACACACACAAATAATGTACAACTTTACATACTGAACACACAAATCACATTTATAATAAGCGTTACATACATAGTCACATTCACAACATCACTAGACATAACACACACAAATAATGTACAACTTTACATACTGAACACACAAATCACATTTATAATAAGCGTTACATACATAGTCACATTCACAACTTATCACTAGACATAACACACACAAATAATGTACAACTTTACATACTGAACACACAAATCACATTTATAATTAGCGTTACATACATAGTCACATTCACAACTTGTCACTAGACATAACACACACAAATCACATTTATAATAAGCGTTACATACATAGTCACATTCACAACTTGTCACTAGACATAACACACACAAATCACATTTATAATTAGCGTTACATACATAGTCACATTCATTTCAGTATTAGTTTTAAATACACACCAATAACATTTACTGGTGAGTATCATATGGATTAAATTTATTTATTCCCTATATCTATTCTATCCCCAATATCTATTCCATCCCCTATATCTATTCTATCACCTCTATTCTATCCCTATCTATTCTATCCCTATATCTATTCTATCTCTCTCTATCTATTCTATCCTCCTTTATCTATTCTATCTCCTATATCTATTCTATCTCCCTATATCTATTCTATCTCCCTATATCTATTCTATCTCCTATATCTATTATATCCCCTTTATCTATTCTCTCTCCTATATCTATTCTATCTCCCTATATCTATTCTATCCTCCTATATCTATTCTATCTCCTATATATATTCTATCCCTATATCTATTCTATCTCCTATATCTATTATATCCCCTTTATCTATTCTCTCTCCTATATGTATTCTATCCCTATATCTATTCTATCCCCTATATCTATTCTATCCTCTATATCTATTCTATCATCCTATATCTATTCTATCCTCTATATCTATTCTATCCCTATATCTATTCCATCCTCCTATATCTATTCTATCTCCTATATCTATTCTATCCCCTCTCTCCTATATCTATTCTCTCTCCTATATCTATTCTATTTTCATATATCTATTCTATCCCCTATATCTATTCTATCCCCGATATCTATTCTATCCCTATATCTATTATATCCCTATATCCATTCTATATCCCTATATCTATTCCATCCTCCTATATCTATTGTATCCCCTATATCTATTCTATCTTCCTATATCTATTCTATCTCCTATATATATTATATCCCTATATCTATTCTATCATCCTATATCTATTCTATCTCCTATATCTATTATATCCCCTATATCTATTCTATCCTCTATATCTATTCTATCCCCTATATCTATTCTATCCTCTATATCTATTCTATCCCTATATCTA